TGGGGGTTTTTTTTTTTTTTTTTTTTTTTTCAAATATTTAGACAAAGCAGATTTGCTGGCTATGGGCTCCACAGTCTAGCATTAAATATCCCCCAAATGCCTTGTAGCACTCAGAACTTTATATGACCACACACAGGAAAAAGGAGGACCATATTGCAAAAAAGTATAACGGCATGTGTTTCAGCAAGAGCCTGTAAAACACTGACAGTATGAAAAGGACAAAAACAAACAGAAGAACAATGGACATGTGGCAAATCTGCTCTAAAATAGAAAGAATTCCCTCTGGTCTGGGTATCAAGTGCTAGAATCAACAAACCCTCTAATGCCACAGAAACAGCCATGAATAGAAGTTTCCAAGCTTCTGGAACTTACCCTCAGGTGGCTCAGTGTCTGAATCACCAAAGACCTCATCTTGGTAGCGGAAGATGTCGTTATGGACATAAAACTTATTTGCAACAGAACCCTGTAGGCAAACAGAGGTAAAAGTTGGTTTAAGTGTATTTTACTCCTAAAATAAAAAGATTAAATGATCATGAAGCGTTTACAGGTAGTGGCAGATTTGGACCACACTCCACTCCCTCTGTGGCACTCCAACAGGGCAATGGGAACAGAAAACTGCCCATCTCCTCTGCCCTGACAACTCAAAATCCTTGAAGGACACAGAACCAATACAGCAGCTTCTCCAGCCAAGGATCAGGAATATTTCTCAAAGAAAAGCACAAAAGCTATTAGTTCCTTGCGCTCCAAAAGTACTGCCTAGGGAACCATGCGAAGTGATCAACTTAAAGCAGACCTACGGTGGAGCTGCTAGAAGTTACAGTGAGGCTACACTAAAAGGAGAGGACTAAGCGAGTAGACAGGTTACTTTGAACCACTGTGCCCTTAACTCCACACCCTGCATCGAACAGTTTAGCCAAGCCTAAAGGTCTGGCCTACAATGCTTGCTAGCTTTGGGGAAAATATCTTCAACATATAAATATCCAATGTGCACAATACCTGAATTTTCTACTTTGCTTACTGACATTTTCACAATGTTCTTTTATCATATAAAAGGTTTGACAAGCCTGCCAAGACCTCTGTTGCAATCTTTACCACCACCCCGCCCATCATAATACAGATGCAGGATATTCATGGGAGACAGGACTATAATATGAACCACCCCCCCAAAGAAAACAAAAACCTTTGGAGAAAAACAATAAAGGACAATACAAATGACAAAGTTAGATTTAAACACAACTCCTGAAGCAAAAAAGGAAAAAAAACTCTTCAGTCCAAGGAAGAGGGCATCTCGTTTCTTTATGATTGACAGAACCAATAAAGGCCAAATTAAATCTTAACAAGAGATTGACAACTGTCAATTTGTCTTCACTGACATTTTCAATTACTACATGAATTGTTCTGTTTGAAAAAATGACTATTTTGAAAACGTAGTTCAGTGGAAAGTTGATACATTATAGCATCAGAAACCTTGAAACCCAAGTTTTCAAATGAGATGGCAATCTTCTCAGTCTGTGGCATCAGCTGCTAAAAGAGCAAGCCATGGTTACAGAAAGATAAAATAACACTTCAGAATATATAGGCAAAGTTATAATAATGCCACTTACTAGCCCCAACTCAAGACATGACATGCCCTTACAATATTTTCATGGTTAATAGAAACATGGAATTAAGTTTCCAGAATGTCTTTTATGGAAGTGTTTCTTGGCAGAGCCCAAATTTGAACTTTCACTTCCTAATGCCAAGCCAAATAGCAAACCTACTTCCGTGTCAATGTTCGTACGAGACGAAAGCATACCTCTGGTGCAAGCACAAATGTCTGCATGAACCTGCGCACTGGCTGCATGTTATTGGAGAGCTCTCCCATCACCTGCACCACAACACCATCATTGAGAGTTGCATGGGCATCCACATGACGGATCTTCGTGTGGCAATCCTTGAAGTTCAGTGACAGCACCTTCTTGTGGATGTCCTGCAAGATCCAGGTTAGAGTCAATGACCCACTTCAAACTGGATTTAAGTTAGCAGAAACTGCTTCTATTTGGTAATATCAGCAGGTTTAAGTAACAGAAAATATACTTTGAAGTCTATAACTAAGATTACCTTTAAAGCCTTACAAAGCAAGTCCAACTCCATGCTTTTATTTCCTCGAAGCCACTTGTTTTAAAGGCTTGACTATGTCCAATATGGATCTGGACACTCCAGTTGAATGTGAATTAATCCGACATACACCATACCCCACAAATAAGTTCCAAACTCCAACTGCTCCTAGTTCGGGGAAAATTTGACCAGCTTGCCAACCACCTCCTGAAGCAGCAGCTCTTACTACAAATCAGTTTTACAGACCCAGAATGCGACCTTCCAACATGTTCAAACTGCAGACTACTATATTCCAAAGTGGGTGAGCAGACTTCTAATCAACTGATTCACCACCCAGATCTGCTTCAGACACACAATCATCCCTTAAAACAAAGGGATCCAAAAAAAGCTGTCATTCCAGTGCTTAAATTCAGTCACATGACACTATTTTGTTCACTTTTACAAGTGCTTACCGACTGCCCATAGACCGCATCAGCTGGTTTTCCATTGGAATCCAAGCCACCATGGACATAGGAAGAATTCTTTCCATAAAACCTGTTGAGGAGGAAGTTATAAATTAAGCTTTGGTCCAGTATTCTTAATGCAACAACTACAGGTCTGAAAATAGCATTATACTATAAATACTATCCTTAAACCAAATTGTATTAAAGGTGCACTAGTGAGATTCAGTTAAATTTTCAGAGTAGTAAAGAAACCCTCGTGCTTGCTGTTATAATCATCAAGAACAAAAAGAGAAAGAAGAGTTCCATCTTCCAGAAGCTAGACAGGGTCATTACTGTGATGTTGGATACTCATGAAAGAAACTGATATAGGAAGTGGAGACAGAGAAAGACAACACTCTTGATATGCCTGCTTTTCCAGCAGCACAGACTGCTTGGGATTGTGACAGTCCTCCTGATTCTCTGCATCACAGAAGGCAGGGAAGATTTGCACATAAGCCAAATCAGATTAGTTATTTATATATAATCACGTTTCTTTACCCACCCCCCAACACCCCCCATAAACTTCCATGAGCTGAGTTCATTTCATCAGATGCCGTCTGATATCTCTGATTCAGCCTATAAAGTGCAAGTCTACCTTACCTTCTGCCAGCTTCAGACAAACACAGCTAACTCACTGTCTCGTCCCAGTCTTCTAGGTAGTAAGTGTACAACAAGATTTATTTGACAGTCATTATAAATTTTAGTCAGAACCAAGGATATGTAGTTTTATGCACCTAGAAACAAAAACTATAGTAACACGTAAACTATGAGTCATCCTTCCATTTTATAGCTTTTTTCACTCCTAGCTACTGTACCAGAAATGCTGGCAGCAGGTACAAAACTGTGAACAGAAACTCATAACTGATCCAATAGACTGTTTGTCTGGACCAACCAGAGAGACTCAACTGCTTGCCACACTTGGGAACAACTCTGGAAAGTCTTTACCTCATACCAGTTAAGTTTTTAACTTGAAGATGGGTTTCAAGAATCTAGAAATATATATCTAGCAAGATAAAGAAAGCATGACAGCCCCAAAACAAGTCAGTCTACCAGTGCATATTATAACAATGACTGGATTTAAATTCAGAATGATTTCGCCACCGATGCTCCTAAAAAGAGTTAGATCAAAGTCTCTGACTTTAAATCATGGTTTAAAAAAAAACAAAAAAAACCAGCAGGTAACTAGTTATATGGTTAATTACTGGTACTTAATGTGCATTTATATCTGGTTATATCTGAATACAAACTGGAACTAAATTACAAGCAGGAACAGTAGTTATTTCAGATACCTTTGACAAACATGGTCTCTCTCATCATCTTTGCTTTTCATCATCTAGTCTAGTCAGTCACAGCTTGGAAGGGAGCAGTGACACAGGGGTTAAAGCATCTTGCTACAGCTTCAGACACTGTCTCTAGCTGTCCCGGCTGTTAACTGAAGATTCAAAGACAGGAGGAGGCTAGCCATATCACTGCCTGTGCATCTTACTGGCTACTAAGTTTAGGGAGACTTCTGACTCTTGCTGCTGGGAATGAATATATCTGATGGTAAGAGTCCATTTAGCAGAGATTAAAACATGTATTCAAGCCTTGCATCAAGCTAGCCAAACAAGTGGGTTACACTTGTTTACAGTTTATAGCAGGCAAGAATTGCTAACATTTATAAGTAAATTAAAAACAAGGAATACACAACACAAAAAACAGTATATCAAGTTATGTAAGCATAACTTTACCTGTGCAAGTAGTCTGGTGCCTGGTTCAGTAGAGTATAATACTGCCTCACAAATTCCCGCCCGACCAGCAGGGGACTTGGCTTCTCCATCACCATTTCTTTGGTCAACTGAAAACTGAAGACCAAAAGACATGTTAACTGCACAATGTCAATGTTTGCATTCCACTGGTATGTGACTGGTTTTACCACAATGATCAATTGAACCAATAGAGAGAGCTCTACTTTCAAATCACTCCTCCTCCCCCACTCCTCTCTGTGGGAAAAGGGTTCCTTGCAACACAAAGGAACTTAGGCGTCCTAAATATCACAGCAGAGAGCAGGTAGCAAACAAGAAAGGTTTTTGAAGAGGATTTTCTAAGTCACTTAGAGCTGATCCAAGTCCTACTTGCGTCACTTGACTTCACAATTAGATTCAGAAGTCAGATGCTTTGAAGTGAGCCAGCTACTGTATTACGACCACTTTGAAAGAGCCTGTACAAAACAACCTATTTCTAGTCAACAGCACAGGATTCATACTAATCTGTGACAGTTTTCAAGCCACCTCTCAAATTTGAGAGGAATACTGCATTATATACAACAATTACCTTATTATGAACTTCAGTAAGCAACTTCTTTCCCCACTTACCTCCCCCATTTAGTTGATCACGTCACCTAAATCCACAAGGTAAATCAAATGTATGCTAGGACTGACTATATTTTACTGAGCCTAGGGGATTAACAGATTAAGGAACTCTCTCCTGTACAAGCCATGAAATATCTTAACTTCTCACATCTAACCAAGGCGGCACTCTTCCCCATACAGGCTTCCCTTCAGTTATTAAAAAAACAAACAAAAAAAGTTGAAAAATGTTCTTGCTACCTATATTCAGAGTCCTATCTGATACTAGCTGACACGGAAACAAAGCAGGGTGCTTTCTGCTTCATATCACCATCCATTAGAGAGACGTGGAGTAGGACTGGAGCTTAGTTGACAGTTTTGTTGTTGATGCAAGGCAGAATATGACAGTTGGCTCTGCTGCGACTACACCGGCTCAGCAGTGCTGACAGACACAAAAATCCAGCAAAAAGCCTGCAGTAAGCCAAGCAGATGTTATCCAAAAGACACGGTAAGGAGCAGAAGAGATGTTTGAAAGGCGCTTTTCTAGCATTACTGACTCCCTAATCCCTTCTCCCACCTAGCACTCTCCCAATCAAAATGCAGGGTTTTTAGAAGTACAGCATGCAACTCCTATAGGCAAGAACTTCAAACCTGCCCCCTTTAGCCCAAACCAACCATGTGAAGCCTTATAGAACTGCTCCATGCTTTATTGTTGACCCATATGGTTTTATTTAAGGTTTGAGTTACTAAAAATAGCTTCAGGGCCAAATTCTGACATCCTCTGCCAACAAAGAAGGCTTAGAAAAGCCTCCCAGGGAATTTCTCCAGTACTGAAGGAGCATGTACCTAACATGTGAAGACTTATTCTGTCCTCTGACATTAGGTCAATGAAGGGGAATATCAAGAAATCGCCAGTGAGACTAATTTTATTCTGAAAAATCAGCCCTCAAAAGCACATTTTTATATCATGGGAAAACCACCCCAACTCCAGAATTGGAGATGCATACGAGCGGCTATCTTTGCCTCCTCATCTGGGCCTCTTAGAGGGATGCAGGCAAGAAGCCCAGCCTCAAAGTTTCTTTCATTTGTGGTTGCTGCTGTTGTTCAGTGACATTCAATTAGGGCCTATCAGAAACCCATTCAGTAGAAATATTCTGAAAGAAAAAGGTTAATAGCTTAAGTTAGCTGTTTGCAAACTTTGTAGGCTCAAGACACCCTTCAGAAAATAAGAATATTTCTTTCTGAGTCTTTCTGAAAGAGACAACAGGTCAGAAAGTTTGTGATATTATGGCTTCCCACTTGAAATCTCTTGAGTTTATTTTGTGAATTATGTATAGATTTTTGCATTCCTTAGTGCTAATAATGTACAGCACATTTAGAAGGATCTCACAGCAGCTTGATTGGGAATCAACAACTTTGATATTTGACTTTAACGAGCTGTTAACTTCAAATGTGTACTTAACCTTCTGATCCACAAGTTTCATGCAAGCCACCTGCAAAGAACCTAGTCACATAAAGGTAAAGAGAACCACACGCACACAAAATATGAATAATAATGGGGTTCATAGCAGTTGCAGCCTCAATCTGACATGTTTTCGTTAAGATATTAATATAAGTAAGTTATTCATTAGACGCTCTGGTTAATGTGAGAAGCCACTGCTATCACCTTGGTTCTGGAGATGACCAACTTGGTAGGACAATGGTTTATTGATCATTTCCAGTGCACAAAAAAGCATATGGAAATTACGCAAAAGGAAATTATAACCATAGTAAAGGACACATCAGGTATGCAAATAGTAATTTTAAACACCAAAGAATAAAAAAAAGTAGAAGAAAGCATGCATCGAATAAGTTGAATTTGCACTTTTGTGATGGCCTGTGTGCATGGTGTTAGCCAAAACTAAGGCAACTTTTTCCTCAATTTTACTTTTCTGATGGCTCAGGAGGTTAGCTACCTCCCCCTCTACAGTCAACAAATACACAATCAGTATGCATCTTCCACATCACTGAACACTTGGATGTATTACTGTAAGCTCTGTTAGCACCCAAAAAATCTGTCCCAAACCAGTGCCCTGCTGGGCTGAGTGACATACAAATACAGAAGAGACACATCCTGTCCCAAGAGGCATACTAGGGATAAGACAAACAAAAAACCCATGACTCAGAAACACGCAGGTAAATATGATGATGAATTGGTGCATTTTTGGTTTTTAAATTGAGATGGTGATATTGTGAACAATGAAAGGCAACAGCAGGGAGAGAGAAAGGAGTGGTCACAGCCCATGGTTAAACAAGCTGTGACCCACAACCAGGGTTTTGCAAGCACCCTCACAGGCTGAGTCTTTAGATCCAATTCAGAAGGTAAAACCATGGCTGTAAAAGAATACATCAGGAACTTTTCCTATACAAAAGAGAAAAGAGTGGGGGGGGGGAGAGGAGGCAAGAAGGTGAGAGATTGACTCTACCTATTTGTCCATATAATTTTTTTTCCATTAAAACAAGCATTTTAATCTTTGAAATATTAAGGATGCCAAGTTTAG